TGTGTGTGGTATGTGTGTAGGGGTGTGTGTGGTGTGTGAGTATGTGGTGTGTGTGGAGGGGGTGTGTGTGGAGGGGTGTGTGTGTGTGTGGTATGTGTGTATGTGGTGTGTATGTAGGAGATGTGTGCAGAGGGGTGTGTGTGGTGTGTGTGTATGTGGCGTGTGTGGAGGGGGTGTGTGTGGAGGGGGTGTGTGGGGCGGGGTGTATATGAAGGGTGTGTGTATGTGGTGTATATGGAGAGGGTGTGTGTGGGGTGGGATGGGGAGTGGGGTGTGTGGAGGGGGGCGTGTGTGGTGGGGGGCGGGGGTGTGCACATTCATGGAGTGAACAGTCAGGAACGTGTGCAAGGATGGGCACGTCCCATGTAGATGGGCCCAGGAACCCTGAGCCCCGCCTGTGCCTCCAAGGAGACACCAGGGGCAAGGGCGAGGAAGCCTAGCTCCTTCCCACCTTCACTCCGGGGGGACTTGCCAGGGGCTCTTCCCTCCTGACGGCCCCCATCTCCTGCAGAGCTCTCCTTCAGGGTGTGGATGTGTGGTGGGAGCTTGGAGATCGTGCCCTGCAGCCGGGTGGGCCACGTCTTCAGGAAACGGCATCCCTACAACTTCCCTGAGGGCAACGCCCTCACCTACATCAGGTAGGTCACAATGCAAAGAGCACCAGGCTAGGAGCCGGGACACCTAGGTCCGAGACCCCACCAGCCCTGTCGGTTACTCCTGCGGCTTTGGGCAGCTGCACCCGCTTTCCGGGCCTCAGTTTCCCCATTTGTTCCTACCAGTTCTGGGATTCCAGGTACCTTGAGGGGTGGAAGGGTGAAATGGAGAGTGTTGCCACCAGGCCTCCCTTGTCTTGACCCTCTTTGTCCATGAACGTCTTGGAAAACTGGCCCAATCACTAAGTGGACTAACTGGACCCTCCACTCACTGGGCCCCAGGTTCTGGTCATGGATGCCGTGTCCTGAGCCTGACTTGTTCAGCATCTGCCCATCCATGTCCCCAGCCACAGGATGCGCTTGGCCCTAGAGTCCAGCCTTCACCCGCGCTCCTGGTGGGGGTGGAAGGGGAAGAGGGTCCCGAGCACCCCCTTTGAGGACAGTTCTTTTGCTTCTCAGGCCCACGCTTCCTTGTTTGCCACAGTGGCTCCCCAGTCGAGCTAATTGAATGGCTTATTATTTCGGTTTGCTTCCCCCCACCCCATTTTTTGTTTTTATAATTATAAGAGTGATATATGTTCGCTATAAAATGCAAGCTGCACCAGTATATATTACCTATACACATCTGTACGTATATGTGTTTTTACTCTTCATATCATATACAGAGGAAAAAGCAAAAGTCCCTTTTACCCAATCTGACTCTTATCCCACTTGTCTCTCCAAAAGTAGCTACTGTGACTAGATTTCTGGTCTGTCATTTCAGGCCTTTTAACCCCTTTTCATATATGCGGTTCATGTAGAGAGAAGCATGCACACCATAACTTTGTGTTTTTCCATAAATGGGGTCACGCTGTGTGCTCTGTCTGCAGCTTGCTTTTCGGCCACTCGACCCTAAATGGTGGACATCCTTCCGTGTCAGTGCAATGCTAACCATGGCTTGTACTCCATCATATAAAAGTAGGGGCCATTATTCCCCTATTGATGGGCATTCAGGTCGTCACCCTTGTTTTAGTAAACAAATATTTGGTCCATGTCCCTTTTGCCCACATGCAGGCATTTTGGCAGAATAGAGTCCTCCAGTGGAGTGTGAAGAGTATACAGACGTGAGCTGATGGATGTTAACGGATTGTACTCATTTATACCACCCCAATCATATTACTTCGCATACAGTCCCAAGATTCTCATCACCCTGTACTGCACAGAGCTGATCTTGATCCTAACTCTGTCACCTCCCTGGTGACTTTATTTTGTTCCTTCTTCCCCTTTTAGGAACACCAAGCGCACTGCAGAGGTGTGGATGGATGAATACAAGCAGTATTACTATGAGGCCCGGCCCTCGGCCATCGGGAAGGCCTTTGGCAGGTGGGCACCCCTCCACCCCCCCACCAGCCCTGTTTGCCTCCCTCCACCCACGTTAGCACAACCAGAACAAAACACAAAATGGTGTGGACGCCAGGAAAGCACTCAGTCTCCTTGGTAACTGAGCCCCTCCCCGCTGGACTCTTGGGGCTGGGGGGTTCTGGTAGGATACACAATGTGAGACAGGACTGGGTCCTTGAGGAGCACACAACCTTGAGGTTGTTTCTGGGAGAAACAACCAGAGAAGGTTCGCTGCTGAAGATGAGCTGCCCGTTCACCAGCTGCCTGCGGGAAAAAGGACAGCTGTGGGAGTAGTCAGGGCCGGGCTGTCTGCAGAAAACCCTTGGGGTTTGGCCACCACCCCCTGCTGTTCAAAATACGCCTGGGACCTGTTAGCCTCTTTTCCTGTCCTGGGCTGGTATGATGACAGTCTAGTTAAGCATTTTCAAAATGTAGATTGGTTATGAAATCAATTTCATGGGTCGTGACCGGCATTTAAAAAAAAAAAAATGATAGAGAACACGATAGATTGGAACAGAGCTAATAGAAAAGAACAATTGATTACAGTTAAAGCTAAGTATTGTTTGGTGAAATTCTTTCAGTTATATGTGTATGTGTGTAGCTATATATGCACATGGGAATACTCGATCACAATGTAAGATACATTTATTTCTTAAGATTGTGGTCAGAAGACCAAAAACATTAGTGATCATCTCTGAATATTCTTCCCTCTGTTTATTCATATCTATATCCCTTAAAAAAAAAAAAAAGCGGGCGCCTGGGTGGCTCAGTTGGTTAAGCGACTGACTTCGGCTCAGGTCATGATCCTGGAGTCCCGGGATCGAGTCCCACGTCGGGCTCCCTGCTCAGCAGGGAGTCTGCCTCTGTCTCTGACCCTCCCCCCTCTCATGCTCTCTATCTCATTCTCTCTCTCATATAAATAAATAAAAATCTTTAAAAAAAAAAAAAGCTACATCTCTGACTATTTCTTTTCATGGTGAACTAACCTTTACTGAAGACCTACCCTGTGCTAGGCTCTTATGCTCTCTTAATTCATTTGATTCTCTGAAAACCTTCTGGGATAGGTGGTCATGTTTACTGGTGGAGAAACTGAGGCTCAGAGAGGCGGTGGGGGGTCATCTGTCAGTGGCCATTCCCGTCAGGGTAGCTGAGGACCCTGGGGAGGTGGAACTGTGGCGTCCACGGGCACATCAGAGGGTTCTCATTTGCCAAAATTCCTGAAAGACCTTTAAAGTGTGCTTTTCTTGTTAGATTCTTTCTGCTAAAATTGGAATGCAGGAAAGGAAAACTTGGAGTTCATTAAAGCTCTGCTTAAGGACCAGCTAGGGGTGTACTGAGGTCTCAAGGTGTGAGAAGCCAGAGTCAAGCAGGGCCCCGGTGGGCTGCACTGATCCTGGAAAGTGAGCAGGAATTTGAGGAAAGAAATGAGGAATGGCCAGGAGACCTGGGGTGACCTTGCAGGTCAGAGAAGGATTTGCGGCAGGTGGCCACAGCTGGATGGCAGGCTGGGACAGCTCCTGGCCCTGCCCTGCTTGGGGTAGGTGGAAAGAGGGGGCCAGCCTCCTGGGGCTTCCTCCTTGTGCCCGCTTGCCAAAGCCTGAGCCTTCCCTTCTCTTCCAGCGTAGCCACGCGGATTGAGCAAAGGAAGAAGATGAACTGCAAGTCCTTCCGCTGGTACCTGGATAACGTCTACCCAGAGCTCACGTGAGTGCAGCCCTCAGCTTGTGCATCTGGCCTGGGTGGGGGACCACCCTGAGATCTCCCCATCTTGGGCAGTCCGGTTCTTTCTAGCTGTCAGTGTTGAATCTTCAGGTGAAGGCTCTGGGGGGAATGGGAAGGAGTTAAAAGTGAGATGTGGCAGGAACCAAACTTTTAACAGACTGGGTCATAGAGCCAGAAAAGGGCATTGTCCCCATAGGGAGACAACGCTGCATTATGTAGCAAAAGCCGCAGAAATAAAGACTCATCCCTTTTGACTCTGTTCTCTCCCTTCTGGGAGTTTATCCTCAGGAAATAAAGCAACCAAAGCAAAAAACTATTGACAAGAGATGTTCATTCAGTGTAGACTTCTCTGCTGCTGTGAAAAATCTACAGATAACTAGTAGTAAGGGGTGGGTTTAGTGAATCCCAACACATGGATCCAAACAAATATTACGCATCCATTACGATTGCAATCATAAAGCCATGCAAAGCCATGGGGAAACATTTGCTCTGACAAACTGGAAGCGGGATGCAGAAGGGGTGTGAGCTGGGGGTGAGGCTGCATCTGCGTGTGCGCGCGCGTGAGCTCCCGGCCTGAGGCTGGCACGGGGCAGTGAGCCTTCCTTTTTTCTCAATTCAAAATCCCTTTTATCCACATGGCTCCTGGCCTCACCTCCTCAGGTCTTGACTCAAATGTCCCCTTCTCGGGCGGGGGGTGGGGTGGAGGGGTGGGGGGGAAGTGGGGGGAAGGCGCCTCCCCAAACAGTCTCTGTTTGCAGAGCACTCCCTTCCCCAGCATCCCCTGTTCCACGCTCGCCATCCAGCGCCTATGTGGCCAGTTCATTTCGTTATTGCCCCCCGCTCCATGTGACAGTAATCTCCATCAGGGTAGAGGTGCAGACCTGCTTTGTTCGCTGTTTGATCTCCGGCCCCTAGAACAGGGCCTGTCACAAAACGGGCACTCGATAAATATCTTTAACTGAATAAATTGCATAGTCAATAAGCCTCAATAGTAATAACTTGGAAATTAGCATTCTCCTTTCAATAGCTGTCACCTTAGGGAACGGGTTATTCCATCACTGGCAGCTGTCTCCCAAGGATGCTGCTGAGGCTTTCCAGAACACTCCACCCCTCAGAGACTGCATGTCCTCGAAAAAGGCAAATCTCTGTTCTTTGAGGGCAGCTTTCATTTTTGGAAAACAGCCATAGTTAGGTTGTCACCAAGTCCAGTGAAGAAGGCGATTCCCCCAGATAAGGTGATCCTGGGTCCCTGATAGAGCACGACCAGGACTGAAACAAGTATCAAGAGTAAACTGATTCTGGGAGCAAGTTTCAAGGAATTTTGAAACAATTTAAGCAACATCAGCATCCTTGAAAAGAGTTCGTGGCCTGGATGAGCCAGCTCCCCAGATGATGGTTGTGAAGGGAAAGAACATTAACTTATAAAAGTATAATAAATGGACCACTTTCTCCAGTGGCCACTTTTAAGGGGATAGTTTCATTCAGACGTGTCATTTCTGAGGGAAAAAGCAGCTGTTTCTTTTCATCCTGTCAGAGTTCGGGCAACATTGGGACGGAGCCCTGGGCTCTAGGCCTTGGGTGGGAGCTGGGCTGCCTGTGGGAGGCACCAGGGAGGACCAGGAATATGTCTCTCCTCTCCACACCCAATCCGCATGCACAGTGTCCCATGTCATTCCCTGAGGACTGAGAGGAAAGAGTATTTTATACCTATCAGAAACCTGGATCCATCACAAGACAGGAGAGGGGATGTAACCAGCTATGTGAAATGAGGAGCATGAGTCTTCTTCCGTTTGTTTTGGCACTGTCCAGAGGTTTTAAAAAACTATCTTGTGTCCGTAAGATAGAAACTGTGCACCTCATTCCTGTCCAGGTTGCTCATGCCCATTCCGCTCCTCAGGTTCTGCCTCGGTTCTCGGGATGAGGGGCCGGCAGCGGCTCAGGTCGTTGGTTAGGAAGGACATCTGTATGCCAAGCTTTCCTCCAAACAGGGGGTCCTAATGGTTGGCCCCCACTTGCAGACGGTCAGTGGGGAGACTGAGGAGGCTAAGGGAGAGGTCCCTGCTTTCCTAGGCCTGCCTACAATCCCGGCACAGCTCTGTCCCCCCCCAGATCGGAGGCCTGCTGCTGGCCTCAACAACCACTGATCTAGTACTTTTATTAGGACGGCCAGGAACCGTGCAAGCTGTGCACACATTTGCCAGGGTGCTAACCACACAGTGGATATTGTACATTCATTATAACACCTCCTGGCAGATGGCAGTAAAAGTCTTCTAACAAAACCAGTATATTATGACAGTTTTCTAACAGATGGAAGTAAAATGTCTCGAGGAAGGGATGCTTTTGCTATTTCTACAGAGGCATCGTAAGGGCTGATGGCAGCCCCGCTGGGAGGAGGCCCACGGAGAGGGAAGCAGACGCAGATGTAGTGGAGCCGGCTCGGCCAGGAAGCCAGGGAGGGTGGTGGAGACGACCATCCCAGAGGCCCCTGGGGCCAGGACCACACAGACCCCTCAAGAGCCCCATCCAGTTTGGAGACTGTTGCCTAAGCCCCGCATCTCCCCCATAAGCATCAGTGGGCAGGCCTTTGTGCCAATGGCTGTGGCCCCCCCATGGACAGTGCCCACCTCAGTGCTGAAAGCTGACCACCCCGCACATCTCCCTGAGGACAGCGGGCAGGGAGAGGAAACATACAGAAGGGTCTGGAACGGACTGGGCTGCATTCCTGAGCTGGCTGAGAGGCCTCAGTGGGTGTCTCGTCTCCATAGAGAAGGACAGTAGAACAGGCTGCCCCTGGATGAAGCAGAGGGGGTGGGGTCTGCATCCCAACACCCTCGCCCCCGGGGTAGAGGTCACAAATTCAAATCCTACAGTGATCAGATGGGTGATGCAAACCAATCTTGTGGGCAGCAATGAGACACAAGGGAGTTGTGGGGACCATGGCCAACTGGGATGCAAAAGCCCCTCCCCCCAGGGGCAGCATGACCACGTGTTTGTGCCTTGAGTGCCTCGCTGGAAGATCTTCCTATTTTCTCAAAAGAGGCTGGATCCAGATTTCTTGTGTAACCTTCAGATTTTTAATATTGCCAATTAGCTAAAAACAACAACCACCACACTATGCAGGTCAGACAAAATGTGTTTGAGGCCGGAGCCTCCCCCCGGCCCCTGAATCAGAGAGCTCCCATTGACACCCTCTGGCAGGGCCCACCCCGATCCCAGGACAGAGAGACAGGAATGAGCAAAGAGCTTGAGGAATGCCATGCTCCCGCTGGCTCAGGGTTGTGTGGAAATTCGAACTCAGGGAAGGCCTGGGTGGGAGAGTGACTCAGAGGCTGATCTGGGTACCCAGGACCTGGGTGCCCTGACTCCCAGCCCTTATTCTGCCTCTCTCTTCTGCTCCCAGCCCGTATCTGTGCTAGCTACTGGGAATAGAATGGCCCCCTTTCTGCCCTGGGGCCCATCTGCCCTGGAGTCCAGGGGGGATTATGCCAAAGCTCTCCTTTCCAGTGCCAAGCCTCAGAAAACCTGCAAGCAAGAGTCGGGATGAGGGGTGGAGGACTGGGCCTCTGGGAGCAATCTGGGGTCTTGGCTGTGGACTGTCCAGCCTCTAGGTGAGGCCAAGTTGGGGCATATCATGGTCTCTGCTCAGGGTCAAGATAGGAAAGACGACATCTGATCCAAAGGAAAGGAGGATGGGGCACCTGGCTGGCATAGTCCATAGAGCATGCGACTCTTGATCTCGGGGTTATGAGTTCAAGCCCATGCTGGGTGTAGAGATTACTTAAAAAATAAAAAAATATATATTTTTTTCAAAGGAAAGGAGGATAGACAAGGAGCAGGGAGGAAGCAGGTGAAGGAAGTGGGAGAGGGAAGGGGAAGGAAAGGAAGTAGAAGAAGCAGTCTTAGTGATTTGCAGGAGGGGAGAGGCATCCAGAGGAGAAGTAGAGGGATAAAGGAGGAGTAGTGAAGAAGAGCAGAGAGCCAGTGGGGCCCACGGAGGGGAGAACTGCTGATAGGGGCCTTTCTGGGGAGGGGCTTGGCGCAGTTGGCCCTTCCCAGAAAGGGGAGGTGGTCCTTTTTTCAAAGCTTCAACCACCTGTGTATTAGGGGATCATAGGGGGCATTTTATTATTGATCATAGTTATTATTGTTATTATATTACTATTTTTATTAAACTTCCCTCTACTGACAAGTTGGGGGCAAAATAAGTATTTATCTCTTCAAATGCCATATTCCCAGGAGGGATCAACTCTGATGCTCTGTGAGGCAATTAAGAAACCAATAAAGACGACTTTTTAAGCTAAAAAAAATGTGTTTGGGACCATATTCAGCTTGGGGGCCAGCAGTTTTCAACCTGTGGTCTAGAATTATGCAAACTCTCAAGAGGGGCCTGGAGGGGTGCGCACTCCTGCGAGGAGTGTGCGAGAGAAAGTGAGGATGTCTTCCTGAGGCTCTGTGAGAGTGGGTCGTGGTTGGGGGTTCTGGGGGCTTCCAGTCAGCCTTGAGGAAGGAAGACCTGGTTTGGTTGAGATTTAAGAATTCCAGAAGTGTTATGATGCCCCCCTCCCCAGCCCACCTAGGTGCTCTTTGGACAGAGTTAACAAGAGATGGTTAAGATTAGGCACATGGGGGCACCTGGGTGGCTCAGTCGTTAAGCATCTGCCTTCGGCTCAGGTCATGATCCCAGGGTCCTGGGATCGAGCCCCACATCGGGCTCCCTGCTCGGAGGAGAGCCTGCTTCTCCCTCTCCCACTCCCCCTGCTTGTGTTCCCTCTCTC